TTCAGCTTGTCTGTTCTCATCATTAGTTTTCTATTTAAAAACTGATCCATTGCGATACCATTGAAAATGGCCGAAGATGTGAAAACCAATAAATTTGTTATGTAAAATTTCCAACTACCCGTCTTAAGTAACCCACATATTCCATCAAACATTTTTAAAAAAATATTTTCATCCAGTTATAAAAAAAATTAAAATATATATTATGTACTGTGGATAACAGACACTTGATTCTGTATTACATTATGGGTTAAAAAAAACAGGATCAGGGGCTTGTGATGTGGATAAAGAATGATTCACTGTATGTTGTTTAACATCCCTCTCGAGAATTTTTCACTCATGTGGAAACGCCCCACATGCCGGCGGAGAGCTGCAAATTTTAGAACCATTTTCAGGTTAGCTTGGACTTTCAGTAAGGCATGGCGTTCTTGACGTAATAATTACACAATTAGCTTCTAAAATTTACAGTTTTCCTTCATTGTTGAAATATACATGGGATGGAAATTCGGGCAAATGCCAATTAGTGTATGGAATAACCAATAACGTTGGCTCGTCCGGCAAAGAGGCGGAGCTCAATTTTAAGTCGTCTCATCATTGTCAACAACAATTTAATGCCCTGTTCACACGGAGAGTTTAATTCGAATTAAACGTAAAGTTACTGCGAATTAGTTTTAGCGTTCACACCATTTTTAAGAATTAGTTTACTGCGCATTAAATTACTTCGCATTACGTTTCTAAGAATTAAATTTTGAGGCATGCGTAATGGCAAAATTAGGTCAAATGCCACATTTCCGTGGTCAGCTTGAAGTATTTGTGCTATTTTTGAGTGAAAAACTAAGGAAAATTGTATTAAACACTTAAATGTGTGTACAGACACTGTAACATTATGTCAAATACATCTGCTCCTGCATAAGGTGACGTGATTTGCAAATGACGTCATAATAGACTTACTGACGCCTGGTCGTAGAAGTAGAATTTTATGCCCTGTTCACACGGAGAGTTTAATTCGAATTAAACGTAAGTTTACTGCGAATTAGCTTCGCTTAGCGTTCACCAATTTAGCATTGTTTAATTGAATAACCAATAACGTGTGAACGCTAAGCGAAGCTAATTCGAATTAAATTTTGACGCATGCTTGAGGCCAGAATTAAGTCACAGGACATGTGTTGGTGGTTATATATAGGTATTTGTGCTATATTTGGTTAAAAAGTTGAGGGAAAGTATGTTAATCTAAAATCAACAATTATCAAAGGAGTTCTGCATACATGATGATTTATTAATTTTTACATTAATGAGAAAGGGCATTAATTCGCATTAGTTTACTTCGCATTAGCTGTCGTGTGAACGCAATTTAACGCATTATTTTGATTCGCATTAGTTTACTTCGCATAATTTACTGCGAATTAAACGCCGTTAAACTGATGTTAAAGTCTACATTAAGCTAACCATTTAGAAATGTAGCACCAAGATTGCCACATTCTGGCTCTTACAGCCATAGAGTCTTTTTCGTACCAGTACCTACTGCGACACGAGAACTCGGTTTATACGGTACCATCCGAAGGACCGGTTTCCGCGTCACCTAGTGGGATTCGAACCCGCGATAAGGATCAAATCCTTACTTCGCAACTCTAGAGCAGACGCTCAACCACTGCGCCACGCGGGCGACGATGTGGATTTAGATGCACAAAGCATGAAATTGCAAAATTCATGTTTGGAATGAAATGTATGGAGATAACGAACAACGTTCAAGCTCGAAAGTCCATTAAACAATTTAAAATTGAAAGAGCAAAAACGGACCTAAACGAAATCAGAAGTGGGATCACGTGCCATGGAGGAGTCAGCATCCCCTGCCGACCGGTCACACCCACCGCGTGCTCCTTGTCATGATCGGGAAATAACGGAAAACCCCGTCGGTAATTCAGACTGTACACAATGGCCTAATTATAAGTATGAAAAACGACAGTGACAATATGATAAATTAAATTTGTTGACAAGGTCTCTGTATAGAACATAGAACTTACGAAATGTTTACCATTTCATTTCCGTGTGCAACAGTTGTGAAGAAAATGAACGGAAACTAAGAGGACCGACCGACAGACAGCAGCACAGCAGTATGTCCTCCCTTCTTCGAAGGGGGCATACATATAAATATATAGGAATTTTTTAAAAAGATATTCTTCTCAAAAACCAATGGCCCAGAAAAGCTAAAACTTATTAGGAAGCATCCTGGGTAGTGTAGATTCTAAATTGTTAAAATCATGACCCCCAGGGGTAGGGTGGGGCCACAATAGGGAATCAAAATTTTACATAGAAATAAACAGGGAAAATCTTTAGAAATCTTCTTCGCAAGAACAATTGGCCAGAAAAGCTGACATGTGGAAGCATCCTGGGGTAGTGAAGATTATAGATTGTTCAAAGCATGACCCCCCAGGGGTAGGGCGGAGCCTTAATAGGGAATCCAAGTTTAACGTATGTCTCGAAAAGGACATCAGAACCAAACCCCCCCCCCCCCCCACCACGAAAAAAAAAACTTCAATATTGAAGTATTCAGTTTAAAACCTTAAGTTCGCTTTTCCACCATTAATCTTAGCTTTCTAAACTTGAAAGTTGGTAATTTCACTTTTAAGTTTGTTTTTGACTTTTTCTATCTTTAAATTAAGTAAATCATGATTCAATTTTTAATTCGTTTGAAATTCCTTTTTAAAGTACTAGTTTTGCTTTTCCATCTTTGAGCTTGGCTTTTCCGAATTTAAAGCATGTTTTCATAATTATCATAATTATCACGGCTTTTCCCATTTTTTATTTTTAACCTTTTCTTTATTTTTTCTCTCATTTACAAAATATTATTATCACATTTAACAATGCTAACTTATTACGCTCAAACACACTGTTGATCAATTTACGGCTCGAGAGGTCGGTGAAGCTAGAGTCTTATATATATATATATTTTTTTGCAAGCAATATATACATGTATGGGCAAAATATCCAAACCCTACCTTTTTGTTCTCAAGATGTATAGTGTAACAGACGGACAGACAGACACTGGGAAGAACTTAACCTACATTAAGTTTGCTCTGCATATTACCTACGATTGGATCCGAGGACTTTTGTTAAATTCTAATTTATGAATAATGTATACTCTTTAGTAATAGTTGTTTAATGTTTGTTTTAAGTCCCTTCGGAAAAAGTATCACTCAAACTCAGAAGTCACCTCTTACTAGTGGAGGGCTGCAATTTTCGACCCGTATCTAGCAATTACAACCTTTGGGCATAAATTAGGAATCATTTTAGGTGCCAAAAACTTTTTGCGACACGGAATCTTGGTTGAAAGGATTAGTCTCCACGTCTAGCAGTGGGATTCGAACCACGATGTAAGGATCAACTCTTCACTCAGTGACTCTCTAGGAAATGCTTAAACCACTTCGTTTATGATTATGGTATCCATAATTCAGGGTGTACACGAGGGCCTAATTATAAGACTAGTATGAAAAACGGCAGTCGGCCTTTGACTAAATGATAAATTAAATTTGTTGACAAGGTCTCTGTATAAAACATAGAACTTACGAAATGTTTACCAAATTTCATTTCCATATGTGCTACAGTTGTGAAAAAAATGAACGGAAACTAAGAGGACCGACAGACCGACCGACAGACAGCAGCAAAGCGTTATGCCCTCCCTTCTTCTAAGGGGGCATACAAGTAAATATATAGGAAAAATCTTTAAAAATATTCTTCTCAAAAACCAATTTCCCAGAAAAGCTGAAACTTATTAGGAAGCATCCTGGCTAGTGTAGATTCTAAATTGTTAAAATCATGACCCCCAGGGGTAGGGTGGGGCCACAAGAGGGAATCCAAGTTTTACATAGAAATGTATAGGAAATATCTTTCGAAATCTTCATCTCAAGAACAATTGGCCAGAAAAGCTGAAACTCTTTGGAAGCATCCTGGGGAAGTGAAGATTATAGATTGTTCAAAGTATGACCCCCCAGGGGTAGGTCGGAGCCTTAATAGTGAATGAAATTTAACGTATGTCTCGAAAAGGACATCAGAACCAAAACCCTTTCCCCCCAAAAAAACTCCGATGTTGAAGTACTCAGTTTAAAACCTAAAGTTCGCTTTTCCACCATTAATCTTAGCTTTCTAAATTTGAACGTTGGTAATTTCACTTTTAAATTTGTTTTTGACTTTTTCTATCTTTAAATTAAGTAAATCATGATTCAATTTTTAACTGGTTGGAAATTCCTTTTTGAAGTTTTGCTTTTCCATCATTGAACTTGGCTTTTCCGAATTTTAAGCATGTTTTCTTAATTTTTATCATGGCTTTTCCGAACTTTTATTTCTAACCTTTTCTTTATTTTTTCTCTCATTTACAAAATATTATTATCACATTTAGCAATGCTAACTTAATACGCTCAAACACACTGTTGATCAATTTACAGCTCAAAAGGTCGATGAAGCTAGAGTCTAATATTTTTTGCAAGCAATATATACATGTATGAATAAAATATCCAATCCTTAGCTTTCTGTTCTCAAGATATATAGTGTAACAGACGGACAGACAGACACGGGGAAGAACTTAACCTGCATTAAGTTTGCTCTGCTTTTTACTTACGATTGGATCCGAGGACTTTTGTTAAATTCTAATTTATGAATAATGTATACTCTTTAGTAATAGTTGTTTAATGTTTGTTTTAAGTCCCTTCGGAGGAAGTATCACTCAATCTGAGAAGTGACCTCTTACCAGTGGAGGGCTGCAATTTTCGACCCGTATTCGGCAATTACAGCCTTTGGGCATAAATTAGGAATCCTTTACATGCCAAAAACTTTTTGCGACACGGGATCTTGGTTGAAAGGTTTAGTCTCCACGACTAGCAGCAGTTCGAACCACGATGTAAGGATCAAACTCTTTACTCAGTGATTCTATAGGAAATGCTAAATCCACTGCGTCAAGCAGTAGTTGAACTTTCAAATGATGGTATCCAGTAAGGAGACGACGAAACATATCAATTTGAAATGTACATTTTATTCAACATGACAACATTTACAATAAATTACATGTATAATAACATTTCAAAGATAAGAAGCAAAATTTTCTAAATCTTCAAATTTCATTCCACAAACAAACAAAAACCCGTACACTTATAACAAGATAAAAGTTCGACAAAATCAAGTTATACATTCGACTTTTGCCTCAAGGGAAAGTCATGTCCTCAGAAAGATTAATATTAAATAGAATATACGGTAAAAGTCGTAATCAGATCAACAAGAAGTAGGCTTAGGGAATGCGTTCTAATTAACCATTACCAATGTGTTTACCAATAAATGTAAATGGCCAATCACCCTTACATTTCCTCCGGGGCATTCCCCAGCTGGCTCGTGGGAAATCCTTCAATAGAGTTACAGGAGGTTCGACAAACTTTACGGTACTTTTCACATCATTATTCCGTACATGTAACTGCATTAAGAATGTCTCTCCAATCATTGAAAATTTTGAAATTGAAACTAAACCTATTTAATTAATTTATGTATAATATATAATTAATCGAGAAAAAAAACAACACAATTTTGGCTGTCATGTCTTCAGCGTGTACCAGTGTTACAACAGGAGTCAAAATCGAGATCTGGATTTTCCATTCCCCTTTTCATCTGGAAACACACGTAGAAATAGACTTTTTTCCAAGCCTCGTTCACTTCTTTTGTGTAGTTTTCTTGTAAACAGTGTTTAAGTCCGTGATTTAAGGATGGCCACAGTCTCTATAAAGGACAAGTAAAATTACCCCGGTATTTTCAACTTTTATCATTGAAATTTATCGTTATATTCATTTATATATATACATAAGTTAGACAGAGAAAACATAGAAATGTCAGTTTACACATCATGTATTATGGTAGAGAGTTCAAAGAAATACTAAGTAAAACGATTAACACTTACATAAAGTACAGATTGTTTAATTAAATACCATCCCCACCCTAAACCCGTTCCAATGAAGTAATTTTCAATTTATTCCTTTATTTAAAAAATTCCAAGATTAAGAACGACTTACCCTTAGCATTTGTGGTTTCACGTGTCTTTTCACGTGTGTTTGACCAATAGAAATGAGGACACTATTAAGGAAATCGGACTCCTCCAAACTCTCCACCGCCGCTCCTAGCCCCTCCAATACCGTGACGGCATGACGTTGTAACATTTCCCGATCAATGTCATATTCCAGCTGATTTTCGTTGTTCATTTGAACGATTTTGGGGAACAAAGATTTCAAATCTGGTTCAGTTTCAAAAAACCTGAAATCAAGAAGGAAAGTACTCTATAAGTTATGATGTGGGATGGAAATATGAAGACATGCAGCGTACAGTAATTATACCTAAACAAGGACCATATATAAAACAGAGGTGGGATCAGGGGGCTTGGGGGGGCATCCCCTGTCGACAGGGACACTATCCGTGTGCTCCTACATGAAGCTATATTTGGGTAAAACGGAAAAATCCGTTAACAATTCACAGTCTGATTTAGCTTGTTTTCCCCTCTAAGATATGAAGTCCTCAAACCCATAACGGTATAACCGTTCTACAAACAAAAGTGTCAGATGGGATATTTTTACCTTAAGGGTCCCCCCATCATTTGTTCAAATGGGTTTATACCAAAGATTAATATATCTCACTCATCATAATCTTTTGGATACAAGTATATACCCTGTTTAACAATGTATGGGAGAAAATGCCTCATTTTCTATATCTGTGGAATTTATCCCATTTTAACAAATTTGTTGGGGGAATACTCCCCATGCAAGGAAATATCCCACCTGACATTTAATTTTACTCCCATGGGGGAGAAAGCTGGGGTGGTTGTTAGACCAAAAATCACATTATTCTCCCATGGGGTTCTGACTTTTAGGACTTCACATCTTTAAAAAGAGATGTTTGTGAGTTCAACATGAGTCCCTGTGATACTGCTTAGACTTTAATTTATTTATGGACATCACTATTAGAAACCTATACACTGTTGTGCCACACGGGACTTCAGTTTATACGGTCCGGTCTTGCAGTGAAATTTCATTCTGCGACGCGTCACGAACAACTTCTTACTCCAAAACTGTAGAGAAAATGCTCTCACGACTGGCAGCCGAATGGAATTAAATGATTAGTTATATATATTTATATTACTTTACTCAGCCTGCCTGGTATTGATTGATTGTATGCTGTTTAACATCCCTCTCGAGAAATTTTCACTCATAAGGAGACTCCAGCACTTACTAGTGGAAAGATACAAATTTTGACCTATATACTCGGAGCCATTGAGCAGTGTGAGATCTTTTCGTGCCAGCATCTACTGCGACACGGGACCTCAGTTCATACGGTCACATTCAAAGGACCGGTCCCCATCCCACGTCCCACAGTTGGATTTGAACCCGCGACGTAAGGATCGAGTCCTTATACTTTGCTGTAACCACTGCGCCACGCGGGTGACGATTAGTATTAATATTGTTTTAATATAAAATTTCAAGTACAAGTGCGGCCGAGTCAATATTATTTTGTTAAAAACCAGTTAAATGCAAAAAATGTGATTTACAAGAACATTTAGAACAAATATTTGACCATTTTCGACCCTGGGGCTCTGGGAATATTACCCCCTCTGTTAGCTTAATTATCGATCTAACCTCTGAAACGTCAATAGTTATATACTTAATATTATCTTCAACAAATGGATTTTTAGCTAAGAATGAGTATGGTCAACAAAAAAGGAAGTGTTTTAAGATAACTAAATCATATATCAACGTAATGTTTCATAAAAATCGATTTCGTAGCATTTAAAACATAAAAATTAGGATAAGGCTTGTTTTCATTGTTGCCCGAGCAAAAACAATAACACTGTCTATAAAAGCTGTTTCAAAAGCATCTATTAGCATGTTAATTTTTTTTTTATCTTAATGTATTTTGAAGGCTTAGAGTATTTTGAAAGCCCAGTTACCCATCCAATTTCTTAGTTCTTCCCATAATCCTCTAACACTTGAACACCTTATCGTCTCCTCCTTCAATGAAAAGTCTGTAAAACGGTTTGTCACGGATCGTGTGTTGCCACTTTTGTGACGTTTGCTTAGTTTGTTTGAAATTCTCAAAAGTAGTATCAACAATCAATATGACATTATTTAATCAGAGTAGATTTTCTATTTTTTCATTTTTCGTCGTCATTTACCACACAAGATTTCAATTAACGTGACGGGATTCCTGTAATACCAGGTAATATGGAACGGATTATAATGCTTATTATCATCACTTAACTCTAAAAGCTGGAATGTGCAAATGCACAGTACAGAAAATTATATATTTAAAAAATCAAGGACTTAAGAAAAATGACGATCGTTTTTTTAAATCGTGCATTTTCTGTTTATCAAACATACGGTAAAAATAAAGTTATAATATGCTTTGAATAATTGACTGTTTCTTGTTTTCTTTGGTAGATAAATGAAATAATTCTGAATAAATATATTTTGTAAACATGTTTTTATAACACCTGTTCATCTGTTTTTGGGCGTATCATTTTTTTTTTAAATTTATAATAAACATTATATTTAATTGAAAAAAAACAACCCTAAAAAAATTGAGGCTCATTTCCTGTTATCTTTTGAAATTCCAGTCTCAGCATGTTTTAATAAATCGTGCTTCAGTGGCTGTTGATTTCAAAGTATTGTTTCTTTCATATCCTTTTGAAATGATACATGTTGTTTCCAGAGGTATGATTGCAATTCCCCTTTGAAATAATTTCAGCACAATAATGGTTCCTAAAGAAATATCTTTTATCTCGGAATTGCGATCAATTAAAAAACAATTGTTACTCAAGTTCGATGTATATTGTTTAATTACACTTAGTTTTAACTCTTAACATGACGTAATTAACACGGTACTTATTTACTTATAAGAATTTGAGAACGTGAGAAACATACGCAAGACAATGAGAGATGAAATTCAATTGTGAACATAAGGATATATGAAAAACATATGTTCATGGTACTTTCAATTTGAGAAAAGAAGATGTAATAATTGAGGATTCGGTGGCATGTGTGGTCTTGTACGTAGAAATTCATACCTGAAACTGCGAGTGAAATTATCAACAAAAATATAAAAACATGTTGCATTGCAAATTTGAAGCATTCATGTCCAATGGCAGAGTTTCCTATAGTTTTCGTTAACCATAATGGAGAAAGTTTCTGAATCTGTGATTGAGATTAATAAGAAATGATGCTTAAATGTCACATAAATTGTCCTCTAAAATCAGTCTGACTCAAGAAATTTGACAATGTAGAGCATCGATTCTATTAGAAAATATTTATGCATGAATTTGTACAAGACTTCGGCGCCTAAAACAAATACAGCTTGTGCATCAAGATTGCATTCTGATACCAGGAGTTGATCCTTACGGATTCAAATCTATACTAGGGGACGTGGAGACCGGTCCTAGGATGAGACTATTTAAACCAAGGTCCCTTGTTATATTAGATGCTTGCATGACAAAAGATCCCTCACTGCTCAATGGTCCCTGAGTTTTGAGTTTAGAAGAATTACACGCTTAGTATGGACTTTCAGGTAGGCGTGGCATTCTCGCCGTTGCCTAATTAGCTTCTGAAATTTACACAGCTTCCCTTCACTGTTGAAATATACACATGATAGAAATGCGGCCGAATGTCAACTGGTGTAGTGAATAGCCAATTAAAAGTTCTCTCACGCCACAGAGGTGGGACATAAGTCGTCTCATCGTTATCAACAACAATTTTAAGTTCCTATGTTATTAATTTCGTAACCAATGAGAATCTACTAGTATTCGCCATTACGTAGCGCCGAAAAAGTCACGCCCTACTGAAAGTCCAAAGATAGGGTAAAATACTCCTAAATCTAAAATTTGAAGCCCTCTGCCAGCAAATGTTGGCATCTCTATACATGTATTAGCGAAAATTCTCAAAAGGGTAGATAAAAACAAATATTTCTTTCAAAATTTATTTTCAGTTTGAATACCTGGTAAGATGTATCTTAAAGAATCTATATTTGTTTTATTTTGAAATTTTCGCCAAAAACTCTGGTGTTACTTCGAACGTTTTCCGCGTCATGAATGCTGACCAATTAAGTTGAAGTAAGTTTTCAACATATACTAAACAAATAATTTCGAGCCAGAGATGGGATCAAATGCCTAGTAGGAGTAAGCATCGTATGTTGACGGGTCACATCTACTGTGATTCCTATACATGAAATTGATCACGTGGACTGAACATTCCGAGTAAGCAAACTCAGTCTAAATAAGCCCTACATCGGAATTTGAAACAAGTCAGTCAAAATACGACCCAGTTAAAGATTATATTTGCTAACAAGGTCATTAAAACGATCGTAGAATTAACGAAACGTCAACTTAAAACAAGGTTTTTGAAATTCCTGTAAAATCAACTTATTTGTCAGTAGCCTGCCTCGGTTTAAAAAATCGTTCGAACTCGGGAGTATGCTCATGATAAATGAATAAGTTGAGAGATGTAAAACTCAATATGCATTGACAGAATGATGGCATGCCTCTTTTCATAAAGAATATGACTAGAAGAATAAAAGAAAAAAAAATACTATTTTTGCTGTCAAAGTTCATATAAACTCCTGGCCTGATATACCGGTATAGCGTTTTCTCAGTTATATTATACAATTAAGAAGGTAATACAATTAGAACTAATGAACAAAATTTTATATGTTAGGAAACCAATATTGCCAAAGAATGAGCCCGATTTTGAAGTAAAGCATACGGACCTTGGATCATGCACAACATTGTAAGTAAGATGATCTTGTAGCCCTCAGGCCTGTTATTGGATCAAAATATAACAATATTGACAATCGTAAATTTAGGCTAGCATGGTAAATTTTGCAGCCAGTTTCATTATCTGCAATTCAGAGTCTTCTTAGCGGACTAAGATATTGCCTTTTTACAAACTTCGTGTAAACGTATGTACAATGTAGCATAATGAGCTTCTCCCATATGACTGAAAGGGCCCTGAACTCCTGATCACTTTGTGAACCAATCTTCAGAAAAGAAAAAAAATGAAAAATTAATAAATTGTATAAATTCAATAATCGTCATGGTTGGCGACTTGGGGTTATTTCATGTCCCAACAAATCTGAACATAGCTTAAGATTTTGTCCTATCCGGCATGCAGTTTTGTCCTATCCGTCCAACAGTTTTGATTTATCCCAGCTTGTCTGCCATTCTCACGCTGATTCAATCTAATAAAATCTGATCAATCAAAGCATAGCGGATGACT